ATATGTTTAATTGGGTGATAATATACAAATAATTACTTAAAAAACATCAATGACTAACTAACCAATTCTTGTTAACCTTAAAATTGTATGTATTCTTCGTTTTGGCTTTTGCCTTTGACATTGTAAATATGCTTTTTTTCTTGATTTTAATTAAAACATGATACATCTATTATTCTTCACATACATTCGGTCATATGAATGGATTTATAATATATTTTAATATTTGTCTGTATAGTTTGCATACTGCTTATACATATTCTTATAAAAATATAAAGGATTGCCTCAGGGCACTATCTTATGTCCCATAAAACTAATAGTTTCTTTACATCGCATTGGGTTATAATGAAAATTAAAAAAACGTTTCAGTATTTCTACCAAAACCATGACGATTATTTATTTTTACAAATTATGTGATTTCTTTGGCTTTAATTGTGTTACGTCATATTAATAAAAAAACCGATGTACTATGCATTTATTTTTAATAAATGCAACATATTCTTTTCATATTTTACTTAAGTTTGCGTATACTTGAAAAATGGTTTGTTTTCGATTTATGTCAAAAATACGAGTATTTATTTTGTTATCTTCAAACTACATCGAAAAAGGAAAATGGTGATAAAATCAATAAACTAAATGTAATAACAAAAATGCCTAATTAACAGTAGATTTAGAGAATGTTTAAAGGAAAATAACATGATAATTATGTAATCGTATTAAGCCTTCAGTGGTGTTTGCGTTTAATAATTTGCCTTATTATATTTGTTCCTAGTACACTATATTTTGCATAGTTTGTACGTTTATTTATTTTCATTGATTATATCGGGGATATCGAATAAATTAATTTTAAACGGTATATTTTTTATTATTTCGTCCATCTTATTTCATTTCTCACGCTGTATGTTTTGCCAAATGTATCAATTTGGAACATTCTGAAATGTCATGATACACCACGAGACGTAAGTATGGAAGAGTCATAACTCTTTGTATATATATATAGGATTATAACAACAAAGCTACTTGAAATGAACTAGCAAAAATATAAAATGCCATCGATGAATAAATTATACAGTAAATTAATCTCGGCAAAGTAAATAACCATATTATTAACTTAAACATAAATACTCATTTATTATTACAAACTTAACATGCAACAACATAGATCAGTCATTTTAATTTTGTTTGTCAAGTAAACAAGGTTTTCTATTAGAAATAAATTCTGTATTTGGTTTTCAGAAATCAAATTCGTAAACTCAGGAAAGAAATATCCAGTATTGGTTGTCAAAAAGCACGTCTACAAAAGAGTGAAATTAAATCGATCTGGAAAAGTGTTTTATAGATGTGTTTTGGTGCACAGAGGATGTAAAGCATCTTGTCTACTCAAAGGAGATGAGATGCAACTAAAGGATGATCACAATCATGAACCGCCTAGCCATAAAACAAAGAATGGAAAATGGATAGTAAATGAAAAGTATTAAAAATAATCTAGAAACTATTTTTTTAATAAATGTTATTGAATTGAAAATGTTTATACCATAGTTTCTATTAATGATAACTTTTCTTTTGAGGAGGGAAGTCATGCAATTGCTTCTCCCGCCTCAGATGGGATGAAAGGGAGGGCAGAGGGACTCTTACTGACTGAATTTTTTCAGCAGCAGCTGCATTATTTGCTGTCATTATTTGCAAATGCATCCGCAACATCAGGTGACCTTATTTAAAGGTTCCTAAGTTACGTTTTTTTGTAGTTTTGGTAAGAATTCTAATAGACAGTACAAACTTAACTGGTTTTATTTTTTCACAGCAAACTACTGCTTTGTCCCGTCAAAGGGCAAAAATCCACTGCTTATGTGTAATAAATATACGTACAACAAGTATTTTCAATCAAAACATACAGGATACATACTCTGGAAGTGTTCCCATAGGGGTAAGGGCTGCAAAGCGACCGTTTATACTTGCAAAGATGGAGTCAAACCGGGTCCAGGGAATCATGCTCACGATCATGCACCTCCCAAGTATCATCAATATCGATACCAATGGAAACTGGATTCGACTTAAAAATGATGAGTACGTTTCTCGTTTTGTTAATGTATTGCCAGCTTGTACTTAAGGTATTTTCTTGTTAGTTTACTAGCTTCAATGTAGCCTTGTTGTTCTTATGTTTTTCACAATTCACTTATGATATGGACAGTATGAGGATAAAATATTTACTTGCGGTCATGACATATATGCAGCCAAATTGTTGAATTAGCCATCCAACCAACTGTCTGAATGACTAGTCGTTTAATTGAATGGCGAAATTGCTCATTCAAGCTGTAAGATCTAAGTAAGATAACCGAATTAAGATAAGATACAGTGTAAGATTTAAGCTTGTGTATTGTTACTTGTTTATATCAGCAAGGTACGTACCTATTGGTACAATTTTCTTTTCGTGTACATATTACGTATGTAGGTGTTAAAGTAGAAATAAAATATTAATTACAATAATTGGTTTACGTGTCTATTATTAATTACTCTTACGGCGGGCTTAACAATGTTTACATAGTTACTATGTGTCAGATAATATGAACTGTGTGCCACATAATTTTATCGAGAACTTCCTTCTATGTCGGTGATGTAACAGGTTTACTGAGATTATTTTGATAAAGTTGTTGTCTTTTGTTTTGATTATGACTGCTACATTGCTAGTACAAATATAGGTTATGGCACGTTTACAAGCTTGCCGAGACTTGGCAAACGTCCACAAGGTCCAAGCCTCAAATACGTCTCAAAAGGTTGTCACAAATTTCCTTTGATGTGTCCAAAATTGCTGACAAGTTCATGCAACCATGCCAAGCAGCCTGTCCCCACGTTTGTGTTTATGGATGCTCGTCGAGACTTGCCAAATGTGTAAACGTTCCATAACTTTTTTCGAATATGATATATGAGAACCGTCAGACAAGATTCTCTTTTTCATCTTCGGTAATAGCGAAACTGATTACGCGACAGCAGTTATGAACCGGTTCGTCACCCTAACTTATGCATTTTTAATTTGGGTAGACTATCCACACGGTTCGTTCGATAGAAACAAAGGGAGTAAAATGGGAGATTCCGAAACAATTTGTTTTTTGTAAAATCAGTGATCAATTATTTTTTGTGTATTGTCATTAGTTTTGAGATGTTATTTAAATATTGTTATAAATAATAACTGTTGTATAGATATAGTATGTATGGTGTGTACAGTTAAATGCTATATTAATTAAAATACTAATTAAAAAAATTGTATTTAATGATAAATGAAACACTATCTACTATTTAATACTTTTCACTATGAATTAATTATAAATATATAAGTAGACACTATATCTTAAAGATATATTATAGGTAAAGTAAATAGCCAAAATATGTTGTGATTATTTTTAATTTTGTATGTGTCCCTTAAATATAATTCGTTTATATTAACGTTAATTAATTTCTGACTAATTATAATAATTGTAATTTATTCTCCATACACTGTTACTTAGTAGGTCACAAATATTGTTTAAAGAACAGAACCCTTATTGTTTAATAAAAAAACCAATTATTATAACATTTTTTTTAATTTTTTCACTCTGCGTTTACAAATGTTTTTTGTTTTTTTTTTTTGACAAAATGCAACGGTTTTTTTTACAGTTTACTTTCGAACTTCAGCTAGAGGTACCCGGCAACTTATAGTAGACGGTTTCCCCTTCATCTGTCGATCTTACTGCCTGCAGCATATTAGGAAAACTTGGAAATGTGCTACACATAGTGGTTGTACGGCAAAAGTACACACCATAGAAGATAATATAGTCAACATATTCAATGATCATAACCATCCAGCGCCATTAAAATGGAATATTCCTTCCCATATGTTTTAAAATAATTGTGTTGCATATGAACAAACAATGGCATAATGCATACTAAAGTAGTAGTTTTATTTATCAATAACTTAACGTATATTTTCGTTTTTAAGGCCATTGTCATCTAAGGGTCATTGTCGCCTGAATACAAATTAAGAAATTAATATAATATAATGTACATGTATACTATTCATCGTATACAAAAACCAGTTTATTGTGCTCTCGCTTTATATCCTCCGCAGATTCGCCGGTCAGTTGAGATACTTTTTCTGATGTGTAAGTAGTGTGTATAGATCTATTTGTAAATAGAATATGAAATTATTTTTATACAAAATAATCGTTTTTTTGTTATTTATGTGGATCATTTTCACAAGCTCTAGGTATTCTTTCTGCTTGTTTTTAAATTATTCATAACATTGATAAAGACCGTCCAAGTACCTATTTATCGTTCTATCTCGTTTCAAAAGTACCAATTTATGGTACTTTTGATTACTTAATCGAACAAATTCGATTTTTTTGACTTTTGACAACTGCAAGTCGGACACGAGCAAGAAATATTACGTACCAACATCACCTTGTGATGGAGTTGCGTATATTTATTTTGTCATAGTTACAATGGAAATTTTTCATTAGACTAAATTTTAATGTCTAGCTATCCCTGTTCTTTCGATACAACTCACTACACGACAGTGGTCTAGGATCCCGTTTTACATTTAAAATGAGCGCAATTGGTAATGAGGACGCACTCAGAGGTTCCATCTTAGGCTTACTTTTTCTTTCTTTTTCATCAATATGGGAGATATGGAACAAGGAGCCAGCTAGTAATCAAACAGTATATTCCAATCACAAGCTAAACTACTACTTCGGGCTACGTGGTAGCTCGGAAGTTAAGGCATCCACTTCTCATGCATGAGGGTGCAGTTTCGACACCTGACAAGTACCAATGTGACTTTCTCCGAGTTATATGTACTTTCTATGACTATTTAGATACCACTGAACTACGGTGAATGCAAACATCGTGAGGAAACCTGGACTAATAATTTCTAATTATACCTAAGTTAGAAATCGCCAACCCTTTTTTAAGCAAGATTGGATGGTTATTGCTCAAAATTTCTCCTTCTGAGAGGAGGCCTTTGTTCAGCAGTGGGTACTTGTAGCCTAATGATGGGAAGAAGCTATACTAATTCAATCGAATTTTCAGACTTCCAATACCCAGTCAAGTTTGCGATATCTCAACGAGGCGGGATTATCATGCATATTGGAAAATATAGTTTTAACAAAAAGACCACTTCTGGATATAGGAACACCTGGTATTGCACGAGCTATTATAATCATCCCCCTTGCAAAGCAAAGGTTCACACCATAGGGAGACAAATCGTGGCCATAGTTGGACACCACTGTCATTAATAACATTGAAGCTATACTTTATAATGTCGAAGTAAACACAATAATGCATCGCCTCCCGGCTCGGAATAGAATAAGGAGGTTTTTAGTCGTAAGAGTCTGACACCCGCACTCCTAAAACCTTGTACATATTCGCTCAATCAAATGTGTTGTTATCTAATATAATTATTTAATTTTGTAGTTTTAGATAGGTATAAATAAAATGTTTTATCGTTATATTTTAAAGAACAATATGAATATTTAATAATAAATGTATAAAAAATAGCAGGAATACGTAGCTTCAGAACTACGACCTCGTGTAAGCTTATTTATTTATTGTATTTTTTTTTAATTTTATGTAGTAAGTACGCCCTAAATAGCAAAGCTTGTATCTCTTTTGATCACTTAAAACACATTAAATGTACCCAAGTTTTACTAAATAAATTAGTTGAGCATTAACAGAAATAATATTGTTGAGTTATTATTTTTTCTCGTTCTATAATTTTCGTCATAAAACTACTTACCGTAATCAACTCGGTATTATCATCATTTCCTCCAATTCAAGAGTCCCTGTTGGGCGCCAATACCAATTATTGTTTTGTACATGCTAATTTTCGGAATAACTGCAAAATGATAATTTTATATTTACAGGATATCGCTACCCGATGACAGGTCAGATATACGTCACAGGCAAAGGAGGTCGGGTCTTAGTACTCCAAGGTTATCGATTTTACAGAGAATATGGGAATGAAACACGAAGCTACTGGCGTTGCTCCAAAAGAGCTTCCCTCGGCTGCAAGTGTAAAGTAAGGCTTATTAATAAGAAAATTGTCATGAGCAATGAACATAACCACGTCAGAACGAAAGACGCGTAAATAATTTAAGAGATTGCATTTTTAAATGCAACTTTGTCGATATTTTTTTTAATCTGCTCAAACGGTTATGTACTCTTAATATTTGTCGATTAAGTTGATGTCTGATGATAAGTTATGCATAGAAAGTAAATTGGGTTTCGGTGTATTACTTAGATCTTCTAGTCGGTGTGGTAGATTTTTTTCATTAGTTTTTGTTGTACATATAATGAAGTTTATATTTGGACATATTTTTGAGCAAATATACCTACGCTGGTCTTTGGAACTCACTCAACCGTATCTGGTCTTACGATTAGGGCGGATAAAACAATTATTGTAGGACTGGAAAAAATCTCAAAATCAAATTATCTTTAATACTATTTACATAAGTTTACGAATTTTACTATAATAGTCTATAAATATTTGTATTAAGATTTCTTAAACTTTATCTATACTAAATTCCGTCAAACAAATTATATTGTGATATGCAAAATTGTTCTTTATAATATAAAATTGTGTATTTTATGAATACTATTATTGTTTTGTAAATAACGTAGGTACAATTGTTCTGGTTGAAATTAGATCAATGTTGTAACATTGAGCCAAACCATGAGCTTGTTTAATCTGATGGCATTAAGTTGTATGTAATCTAAGAGCATTAGTCCAATTTCACCCAAAACAGTACACAATATTGAAATTTCAATTTATATAAAAACGGAAACGTGATTCCCAAAAACACAAAATTATAAAATTAATATTATTGAAAATAAAATCATAGTCTTTTCTTAATAAAATATATTTTGAATATGGTCTCTTGATCTTTTCCCTTTAATCTCTCTAGTTAATAAATAAATAGGGTACTTTTAGTTTGTAGAAAGAAATTTGCATTACACTGTAATTTCCAGTACAATATATTATTATTTTTCAGACTCAGAGAACAAAGGTGTTGAGAATCTCCTAATTAGTAATGTAACGACCGAAGTTCCAGACAATGGATCTGATGATGACGTCATTGAGGTAGTACGAGACGATGCTCCAATTGAAATACTTTCAGATGGAGAAGAATTAGAATTGGAAAAAACTAAGCAAGCACAAAATAGTACAATACAAAATATCGACTTTCTACCACAACCTGTAAATCCAAATGTTAGCGAATCAAATACAGACGAATCTAATACTGAAATAGACGTTAATAAATGCGACGAAACTGAATGCGACCAAGAACTTCGTCCAATAACACATGTAGAAATAACAAGTAATTCTATTCCAAATTGTGATCCTGTAATACAATTAGAAATGCCGTTATTTGAAACTACTATAGATATTATTACTGGGGAAAAACTAAATGATAATAGTTTTGATGACAATGATGAAGAAAATGTCTACGTCAACGTGACAGACGATGTTAATGTTGATGAACAAACTGATGTAAATCAGGAAGAAGTAAATGTCGACACAATTAACGATACTCCTGGTCCTCTTGAAAATAATGTAAAGGATCTTAATGCAGTTAATAATGATAACACTGATGTTCCTAACGACAAACCGAATGAAAACTTAAACGATAATGTTAATACGCAATGTAATTAAATGCTTTCTTTTTTAATAATCGATAATGTTGCGAATAATTTTTCTTCTAGTATTATTTAAACGTAAGAATTAATTTTGTTAACTTTGCTTTTTTAAGAAAAGCGGATACTGTAATTAGAATAATTTATTAATCAATTCGGTTTTAGATGATGTTACGTGTGGTGATAATTATAAGAAGTATATGAAACAATCCCTTCCTGACTGGGTGCATTTAAAACGCTAGTTTACTCTCTAATAATGGCTATAGATAGATCGATCACAAATGTTTATGATAAATTTCTAGTTCATTGTTGCAGTGCTGTCGAATTTTAATACACAGAAAAACAACTTATAAATGTATAGGTACTCAAAATAACACCAATATTAAATAGCAATTAATTTTTATAACGATGTACCTACATATTAGATAAAATAGTAGCGTAATTTGAAAGCAATTGTGTGCTGTTATTGAACATTTATTAGAGACTAGATTGAAATTTTGTTTATCTGAATATATCGTACTTAATTAAAGAAGTGGTATTTATTTAATTCCTTCCAATAATATAATTTCTCTTTGTGATTGTAAAATTTCAATTGCAGGAGGTATGGGCTATTTTTTAACAAAAAGCCGAAGAGGTGCAGTAATACTCTTCCATGAAGGGTACAAGTATCGTCAGGATTACATACATGGTGATAGAATTTCCTGGAGATGTATACGACGGCATCATGGCTGCAAAGGCTCAGCTGCGACTAAAGGCAAGAGACTTTTGAAGGCAAGTGAACACACGCATGATGAGGAGGAAGAAGACAATGAAGATAAAATTGAAGTTATTTGTATTGATGCAGCCTTTAAATAGGATTCTACATTAGTGAATAAAGCACAGTATATTATTTTAAATGTGTAAATATTACACGTTACGTTCCCTGCAATAATTTGATGTCCATTTCACTAAGAAGTTACTACAAAACGTTACTACAAAAGAAGTTAATACAAAATTGTTTACCAAGGCGCAGTTTTGTGGAAAATCGCAAACTAATTATTTATAACAATTTGCATTTCGCTTACAACTACTTCTTTTTTTAAAAAAAGCTTAAGTTTTCTATAAAGTCGGCAAAGGCTACCGATAATGTTGCAGTTCTTATAAGCTACAATAAGTGTCCTAAATCGTACTGTAAGCTTGTCTACCATCGCGATGACACATTAATGTTATAGAACATTTTATTTTATTGTTATTTAGTTTTCTTAAGTGTACATATGTAAAATAATCTATTATAGAAAATTGTTTTATTTATTCATATGGATTTATAATTAAAACAGACATATCATTTGATATTTTGAATAAAAAAGTGATGAAACAACTTGTATTTTATTTATTCCAATAATTATTGAAATTCGCTAATAAACATTGAAATACAATTCAATAATATAACTTTTGATTCAAAAAGAGTTCCTAGTTTAAATATGTGTTCAAAATGCTAAGGGCTTTAAGTGCATTCCTGCATTTTAAATTGTAACTAAACCATTTTTATCATTTATAAATGCCAACTCATTTGGCAAAATACATAGAATTAAGTGGTTGGAAAATCTCTTATTCGACCAGTCAAACCCGATAGATTAACGATATTTGTACTAGAGATCGAATTATGACACAAGCTCAACGTTACATATGCAAAATTGGGCAGTTTCCTTAGACAAAAAAAAACAACGTTTCTTCAATGTACCTAAAAAATTTTTTAAAAAAAAACATAGTTTCATTAATTGATTCTTCGATGTACTTATTTAATTTTTGATACAGTTTAGTTATTTTTATGAATGCCACAACTATTCTACCTATTTGATTGACGCAAAAATGTCAAAGAAATGGCTAGTTTTTGACATTTGAATAAAAGCATCGAATTTGAGTAGTCAGTAATAGTATTATAACTCCAGCAACTTATCTTCCGACAAATAGAAGTAGATAAACTAGTTGTGACTTAAATACACATTTTTCATTTATGTAAAACGGATTTGTTTTCCTAACGTTTAGTTAATATAGAGCGTGAGCTTCATCAAAACTCACATTGTTGTCCATCTCCAATTCCACATCTGTGCTGAATTTAACAGTAGGTATACCTAAGCGTTTTATATTGAGATTGAAATCTTTGACACCTTTGACCTACTTTAAAATAAATGTTCATTATTATTTCTAGGACTGCTAATGGCGGTGTTTCAACAGCATAATGGAAGGAAAGTGCTAATTATAGGAAATAATCGGTTCTCGAAACACTATATCGGTAAAAACGGCAGGACTCGATGGAGATGCTGCAAGTCCAATAAGAGATGCAATGCTATAGCCTTCACTGAAGGTGCTCACATTGTTAAACTTACTGATAAACATAACCATTAAATATAAATTATTATTGAAATATAATTATACCGAATGATACGTACTTCAATGTTTTCACTTCCAGTTTTCGCCAAGCTTATTTGTTTTGCCAACTCTTAGGCAACAAAAGCACGTTCTCACGCGAAGAAGGTTGGAGCATTAATCACCTCGCTAGCTCAAAGCGGATTGACGATTTCAAACTTAGAATTTATCCGGGTCCAGGGTTCCTCGCGATGTTTTCGTTCAAAGTTTGTTCTTAGTACAAATAACAAATGTCATCGATCCATTGTTTTTACCTAGGTTTTAAATAATTTTAAATGTCGTTACTTTTATGTCCATAGGCAGGCAAACGAGCACACCTAATGGTAAGCAATTAGCGCCGCCCATTAACTCTTAATACTAAATGAGTTTCTACAAGAGCGTTGCCGGCTTCTTGTGAATTATTAGGGATTTAAGAGTAGGTGATTTGAGGATTGAGGATGAGGGAGAAGTAACCTCACTCACACAAAACAACGTAAAGGAATGTGTTACCTGTTTTGAAAATAATAATGTAAGGAAAGTATTTTCTTTATTTGAATATCGATAGAACCCTGTATGTTAATATGTATTAGGTATGTTTGTATAGTAAAGCTGGTTTGGAGTAAAAAGTTCTTCAAGAGGAAAAGGTTATGTATCTTGAATAAAGTCAATCTCTTGAGAAGGTAGATAAGGAGTAGGAACTATAGACAATATCACCATGAAGCCAGCATTATTATCATCTCCCAAGCTCAGATTCCATGATATCAACACAGCAAGAGAACTTAAAAGGACTATGAACGAGGTTAGTATACTTTTCTTTATGAGGAGACAAACACGCAAGAATGCCCTGATGGTAAGTGATCAGCGCTGCCCTTGGACTTCCTTAAAACTATAGGATTCAAAGGCGCATTGCCAGGCTTTTAAGAGGACTGTACGGTTGGCGCGGTGGCTGGGCAACTGGCTGTGGCGAAATTGTATATTTGTCAACACACCCACGACACAGGAGAAAACCCTAGAGGGGGCCAACGTTTTAAAAAAAAAAGGAATATCCTATACTGTAGCTAATGCGCCATCTACCATGTTTAATGTTTACTACATGACATTAATGTTTAGTACTTCTTCCAGGCCACCGTCTGGCAACATTCACGGAGCAGAACGGGCGAAACGTGCTAATGATAGGAAACAATAGATTTATGAGGCATTACATCAGTAGGCGAGGAAGGACAAGGTGGCGATGCTGCAAGTCTTTCAACAAATGCAGGGCCATTGCCATTACTGATGGAAGCTATATTATGAAACTTAACGATCAACATAACCATTAGATCTGTATTAATTTTAATGGGAAACCGTATACGTAACATTTCAATGTCTAGGTTTGTCGATATTTAGTATACTTACAATACGTTTCGAAACGTAAACTGTATATATATAAAAAAAAACGATGGAATCGATTCTACCTATTTTTGTTTATTGAAGACTATATTCATTTTTACGCGTTGTAACTAATCGTCGAGTCGTCGCACCAGATGAATGGGAAGAAAGAAATTAGGGGATAAAATTAAGTAGATCACAGGGTTTTTAAGGTACAACCATATTATCCTCCCCCTCCCTGGGGTGCGAGAGGGGGTCTCTTACTGACTAAACCCCTCCCTGTTCCTTCTCCTGCCCTAAGCCGGAGCCGCGGTATATTATTGGTCAAGGATCATACCAACGGTTGTCTTGACAATATAAAAATTTCAGCGTTATTTTTTTTTTTATTTGTATTAAGTTATTAAGAATTACTCATATGACTAGAAGTCGGATATGTTAATAATGTTATGTAATATATGAAGTTAGATTATCATTTTATCCATCAATGTGTTAAAAATAATTGTGATAAATAATAATAATTATGTTAGGACTATTATTTTTTTTACTTTCATATGTTAACTCTATTTCGAATGTCTTTTTTACTAATGTTTATTATTATTAATTTAAATATATTAATTTAACCGTTTATTCGAATATGTTCTTCGTTACACCGTTTACGTTACAAAGTTTATTTACACCCAGAAATATACGAAATAATTCTTAGATAGCTCTTTTGTGATTTCACTTATAATTTTAATTATTTTAAAAAACCTGCTTACTCGTGATCTTTTACGAGTATATTGAACTATGTGTAAAAATAATGTGATAATTATTTTTAAACACTCTTTAAGAATGAAGTAGGTACAAATTCTCGTAACTCTTTACTTTTTCGAACCTCAAAAGGCTTCATGGAGACACAAGAGTGTGCTTAACTCAATAACTCTACTCCGGTGGCCATCATCATCACCACCGGTTTGTCTTCCTCGCTCCGACCTTCAAAATATCCCTAGTAAAAAATTAATTATACCTACCGAAGTATTTACCTAGTATCCTTTTCTATGTACCGCACATAAATTTCTTCCAGAAAAAGCTTCCTATTGATGCTCGGTTAAGGTTTATATTCCTGAGATTTATTGTAAAGATAAAATGTTATTCCCCTTTAGTTATGATAAGAATTGTTGATCTTGTAATATCTACGTGAGTTTTTATTTTGTTGGGAAATGCTATAACATGTATATTTGTATACAAGACATTTGTATTTGTACACCATTATTGAGCGACTGGTCGTTTGAGCGTGGTGTATTTATGTCATAATATTAGTATTTAAAATTTATTTTTATTGATAATTTTTACCGACTACAATTTTCAATTTTTGTACGTTTGTACTAATGATTTATTTTTTAAATCAATTTCTTTTATAATTTTCTATTTACTTCGATTCGTGTAGCGTCTATGACATTTATTTAGGAACCAACAAACCTAGTACTATGGATATAAATACCAAGTTAGATCTATGGTTAATAAATGTTATACTGTATGCTTTTTAGATACTATTTCTTTTTCCCTAGATACACTATAAAGCATATGTGTACAGGTACTATACGTACTGTTAAAGTAAAGATATATTATAACGTGATTATCAAAAAAAACTTATAATATTTAGGTAATTTTTAATCGCAAGACAGCGTAGCACCCGAGCGTACTCCTTCTTATAAGGCCGGCAACGCACCTGTGACTCCTCTGGTGTTGCGGGTGCCCATGGGCGGCGTTGATCGCTTACCATCCGGTGATCCGTCTGCTCGGCTGCCTCGTATTCCATAAAAAAAAATTTATTACTACTATTTTATTATTCCTCACATTTACACTACAACAATATCACTACTAAATAAAAATAACAATATTTTCGAACAAACATTACTTTTTTTTCCAGATTTAAAAATCACGCTAACGTCTCTTAACGATTCTGGGGCATTGGTTTTATAAGCATCTAGTCAACAAGGTGGGCATGGTTCGCTGGCGATGCCAAAAAAACCGGTCCAAATGCAAAGCAGCCGCTTGGACTATCAAAAATAATATTGTAAGGTTTAAGAAGGATCACAACCATTAATATTTAGATAAATAGG